AAGATTCTGTCTTGTAGGTGGAAGCTAATAAATGCTATAGAACTGTATCTGCACTGTCTCGTGGAGTTCTTTGGGCTGAACCTGACATCAATCAAGGAAATACTTATCTCCCCAAGCACAGCCTTCACCAAACCATTCCATCACAGGGTCCTGTGATTGTGAACGGCAAAGATGAATTCGAACCTGGTGCAGACTGCCAGGAAGACAATTCAACAGCTTGAGGAGGAAAGAAAGAGGACCCTAGCAATGCAGAGGAATAGGAAAATAGCAAAGATATTCCAAGCTGACGGGCATGAAAGCTAGCACAGAGAGGCCGGGAGAGTTGATGGGAAACACACCAGAATTGGTGTGAAGAATCCATCTATTCCAAAAGGGAGGAGGGAGGCTACCTTTTTGGCAGAGTCATCCAACGAATTCTTCACCGCTGACCCATCCCATTTGTCTACTTTGACAGGTTTGTCGTCGATTTTCCACTGCAAGGCAAAAAACAAGCAGTCTTGTTTAAAAGGGTCCTTTCTTGGGATCCCAGGAAAAAGAAAGAAATTTCTTGCTGGCTCATCCTCCAGACCAGCTGAATTTGGCTTCCAGGCCATCTCTCCCCCTGACTGCTTATCAGACTGGGCTGCATTCACACAACATGCTCAACCAGGTCTGCTGACTGCATCTACACAAGGGCTAAGCTGACGGGTCCTAATAGGACAAAACCACTCTTGTAGTGCCTCCTATTGGTCAGCAGCAATTATAGCATGGGCCAAGGTTAGTTTATGGAGGAGCACAATCCCAGCCTATTTGGTTAGTTTATGAGTCAAGACATCGTGTGCACCCAGAAAATGGGTTAATGCAGTAACCGAGTTAAGACAGCCATCAGGTTTCAGCAAGACCACTGCCTGGAACAATTGGCCCCACTTGCAGGCCCTTAGTCAGTAACTTAGTTTCTTGGGCAACCTGTGACTTACAAATGGTTGGATATTATGAAAATAAACCTTATTAATTTAACTGCTTATAAAGGCAGAGAGGTTTTTTGGCCTTTAGATTTTTTTAAAAAAAATTTATAGCTGCCCATCTCACAAACAAGCAACTTTTTGGCTGGTGTGGGTCTTCCGGGCTGTGTGGCCGTGTTCTGGAAGTTTTGTTTCCTAACGTTTCACCAGCATCTGTGACCGGCATCTGATGTGTGAACAGTTCACACAATGAACATACTAATCACCCCCAGCAGCCACTCGGTAAGATGTGTGAACAGTTCACACAATGAACATACTAATCACCCCCAGCAGCCACTCGGTAAGATGTGTGAACAGTTCACACAATGAACATACTAATCACCCCCAGCAGCCACTCGGTAAGATGTGTGAACAGTTCACACAATGAACATACTAATCACCCCCAGCAGCCACTCGGTAACAACTCAATAGAAGAAACAAAACTTCCAGAACACGGCCACACAGCCCGGAAGACCCACACCAGCCATCATATTCCGGCCGTGAAAGCCTTCGACAATACAAGCAACTTTTTGTTTAAATCCGTTAGATATCCTTCTCAAAATGTGTCAAGAATTGGGTTACGCTTGGCTTGATTCACCTCTTCCTATTTCTTATCAGTTTTGTGTTTATACTTTTACCCTCCCAACTGTATTTTATGCTTTACCTCTCTGCAGTCTGTTCATTCTTTCTTGTAAATACCTTCATACATGGCTGAAGCTGGTGTGTGTGTGTGTGTGTGCGCGCATGTGTGCATGTTTTAATTAGAGTAGGCTCAAGCACAAACATTTGCTCATGTGGGAGGAAAACTTTGGGCCAGTCTCTCTCTCTCTCAGCCCAACTCACCTCACAGGGTTGTTGTTGCGGGGAAAATAGGAGGAGGAAG